GTTTGTACTTCAATAACACTTTAAGCGACGCTGCACAACCCCCTAAATTTGCTGCAAAACTCTGCAAAAGTTTGCATTTGGAGTTAAATCCATCACTGTGATGAGCACTTATGAAATGCTGTTTATTTTCCCGTGCAAGTGTAGTAGGTCATGAGGTAACGCATAAGGTGAGCGTTACCGTTAAATGTTGAGGTCGACACACAAACCTGGATTCAGATCCAAACCGCAGCTCAGTTTTTCCTCTATCGCTCAACGTGTTTTAAGGATAAGCCTCTAACTAGTGGACAAAAACTGACAACCAGCACAAAACTGGACTGAAAACAAGTTATTTTATAATATCACCTTGTTCGTGTAGCCACTGTTGCCTCAAGACATCTAATAATCATTCTTCATTCTATACTGAAGGGTCCAAAAACAACACGATGACACCAAACCTTGAATAAAAGTGATAAAATAGTCTGAGGGTGACACAATACTTTATCATTTTGTACATTTGAGACCCTAGCATGAAGGGGAGTGCGTTTGTCGCACGGTGGATATCTTATTTAAAACTGAAACAGAGTTACTCTGGAGTATTCGTGCTCTCAGTGTTTACTCGAGTCTCTGGGATGAACCAAACAACTGAGAGAGTTTACAGTTTGTCTTGTATCCAAGCCAGGTCTGGCTGCGGTGAGATAAAGTAAAGGATTTGATGTGTGTCTTGTCTTGATTACAGTATGTGTCTCATTCAGACATACACCCCACCTGCCTTTGTAAAGATCTTTATAACAGCGTCCGCGAAGCCTCGTGGACCCTCTGTATATTATTTATAGACGCTCTGTGATTGTGGAGCTGCTGACTCTGTTCTCAGTCCTGCTGGTGTTTCCTTTCTCGTCCTACAGGACTGATTATATTATCTCACCCTTATTCTAGTTTTCATATTGGTTATTGTGTCTGTGGTGCTTTTTGTGCTGTGATAAGCCGATATGATGCCAACAATGCTTTTATCTTTTCTATTTCTCTTGTAATAAAAAAGCTTTTTTCATGCATTTTTATGTCGTTTTTTTATAGTGTTTCACCTTTTTTGTAGCTCATGTAAGAAAAAAAAGTTATTTTCACAAGTAGTTTTGTTACACCAAAAACATATCACAAAATGAGCTCCAGATGTATCTAAACTACATTATAGCGACCAGTCTGTCCTTTGATCTTGTTTCATACCACTTTAATTCAATCAAGACGTCATTCTCAAGGAGACTGAAATAAATTGAGGCAGACTTATTTTATATAATTAGCCTCATATGAGGAGAGGAAATGAGACACCAGAAGAAGGGGGAAAAAAGAAGGTAAACATACAGTCACAATAAAAAACAAAGTACAGAAATTATGAGGTTTTACATGTTGATACATAATAAAAAACAATCTGGTCCGCAGAAGGTCTTAAAACTAGGTAAATCCAATAAGAAAATAAAATATTTACAACACTATGCAGAAGAGTGTGAAAAAGTAAGTGCACCCATACTGCTGCTACATGAATTAAGAGGGTAAGTGGGGGCAGGTGCCGCTAATCAAATGCACCAATAGGCTGAACTCTATTCTGCTCAGTAATAATTTTATCTCTTTATAATCTTATTGGTGTGGTGTGGCCCCCCACAGCAGTCCCAGTTTTCTAATGGGGTAATTTTTAAGCCCACCCCTGTACTTAACTGAACACCAGCAAGTGTGAGCATCTCTATGAAAGTAGGGGTTCTCTTACTCTGCCAGAAAGGACAGACATTAGTGATAATCTTAAGAGGAAAGAACTACTCTGGGAAGTCCATCATTCCACAGCAAGAATTTTGGCTTTTGTGTTTATTTTGTAAATAAATCATGACACTGTGCAGTATCTCATGTTGATGTTCATCTGGGGTTGTATAAGTCATTTTAAGGTAAGGATTTTAGTAAGGATTCGATCATTTCTATTATATATTATATATAGGGTGCAATACTTTCCACGACTGCAGATCTATTATCAAGACGATTACCCTATTTTATTTTTTAAGTGGAATATATAAAACCACGCGTTAAAAGACCACGTTGTTTCCTTCGGATCTACCGTTGTAGTTCGTGCTAGTGCCGCCTCTGTCCGCCAGGGGGAGTCGCCTCTACACGCTCTGGTGCCAGAGCAGGTGTAGCGAGGTGAAGCATCGCGTGTGGCTCGGCTGTTTCCGTCACGGCTCGGCAGTGAACCGCTGTGGCTGTGGGAATGCGGTTGCCGGAGGCTGTGGGCATTGCTGGACACTCGGCGGAGATGTACGCACGGGAGCAGGAGCCCACAGCGGCTGGCTGTCGTCCAAGTTAACGGGCTGTTTTGGGGATGTGGGTGGGACCCCCGGACGGCTGGGTGTCGCTCGGAGCAGGGGAGCTGGGTGTTCCCCCCCCATTTATAGAGCCTGTGATTTTTCTGCACGGTAGGGGAATAAGAGAGACACCAGGAAGGATTCCCCAGCACTATGGAGCCACGCACTGCAGACAGCGTGAGTACAAACGCACAGACACCGGCAGAGCCCCCGGGGGACTGGGC